CCTCCTGGAGGGGAGAGCAGAGTTTTGAATGTGCAGAAGCAGCAAGAGTGGAAAGAGGAACCGTCCCAATCAGGAGCACCCCCTAGGGGGGTGTCTTTAGAAAGTGAAGCAGGGAACTTAACAGCCTGTGGGCCCCAAACGGACCGGCTTCTTAGAGGGGGTGTTAAACATTGATTATTGCAGTCTTTTACTACTTCCAGAAACCTCTGCACATTGACCCTCGTTGGCCTGGGGGTCCACCGGAAGTGGAGGAGCTCCAGGTAAGACACCTGGTGCTTTGAGAGCAGGGAGCAAGGCCTTTACCACATCCGGATGCCCTGAAGCCTGCTTTGATGCCTGCATTCAGCCCGTGCAAAAAAAATTGCTTGTTGCTGGGCCAATTGTTAGCTGATGGGGACCCCGAGGACGCACGAGAGGGGTCCACGAGTTGGCTGACTGCAGACCCTCATCCCAAGAGTGAGGAGCCCGCAAAGAGCAGAGTGTCGAGTCCCCTGGCTGGGACTTGGCGTCTGGGCCTCAGTCTCCCCAGCTTTGAAATGGGGAGGGGTCCTCGGCTGAACCAAACGCTGACTGCGCCACTCGCTCCGCGCAAAGGGTCGGGTGTCAGAGGGCGCAGCCCGGGCACCCCCCGGAGCCTGCGTGGCGGTAGCGCGCACGAGCGCAGGGGGCGGCGCGGCCCCGCGGCGGGGAGGGGCGGGAGCGGGCGCGCGAGCGCGCGCAGGCGGCGGCGGCGGCGGAACCTAGAGGACGAGCGTGCGGCCGCGGCGCTGCCAACTCGTGTGGGACCCGCCGCTCCGGCCGGTCGCCCACTGTCCGCGCGCCGGTGCTCGGCCGGCAGCGGAGCCCACAGCACGCCGGTGAGTGGCCTGGGGCCGGGGCCGGGCCGCACGGCCGGGGCAGGGGCGGGGGCCGGGCGCGGGCCGGGAGCACAGCCGGGCCCGGTGTGGGCGCGTGGGCGCGCGCCCGGGGTTCCACGGGCGAGGGGAGTGCGCGCGTGAGGCCGCGGTGCGTGCGGACGCGCGAGGCTGCGTGTGTCGGCGGCGGAGCGAAAGTGGGTGGCGTGTCCGCCGGTCCTTGGGGGGTGTGCGCGCGCGGGGGTGCGCCTCGGAGGGTCGGGCTGGGGAGTGTGGGTGGAAGACCGGCGACGGCGTGGCTCGCGTCCACCCACTTGTGGAGCGTTCACGGTGGGCCAGGGAGTGTGCGCAGCGCTGGACCAAGTGTGGGGCTGAGCTGTGTGCCCACGTGTCTTCGTGTTCCCAAGTGATTGTGTGCACACGTGTGAGCCTCTAAGAGCAAAAGTATGCCTGTGTGGATGTGAGTGTGTAATTTGCATTTGCAGTGTGAGAGGGTGAGCAGCCCCTGGCCTTGCACCCACCGGGCCTGTGTGCGTGATGTGCCCTGCCCTGGCCTCCAAGACAGGAAGCCCAAGGAGAGGCCCAGGCCTCCTGACCAGGTGGGTGCCGGGGGCCTGGTTTGGTGAACCAGGCCAGAGGACAGACATGCAGAGTCCTGCTGAGCCTGGCACTGTGGAAACCTTAGAGCCAGCCCTTGGCAGGACCCTCCAAGGCTACATCGGCAAGGTGGGCATTATGAGGGCACCTTGTCCAGGCATCAGAGGACTTGGGTCCAATTTTTCTAAATGCCTTCTGTGTTTCTGGCCTTGTTCTTGACTCTCTCCAGATAGGAGGCATTTTGACCCTCCCCCCAGACCTGGGGTCTGATTCTAGGGAGACACTTATCCATGTATCTGAGGGCTTCTCTCTTCTGTCCTGCTAAGTAGATTAAATTGGTCTGATTTATTTGTGCCAAGCCTGGATCCAAGTGTGAGCCCCCAAGAACAGTAAAAAATTGGCCACAGCAAGTTCGGGACACCATCTTCCAAGGGCTGCCCTTCCCGTTTTGACCAACAGGTTCTTGTTCACTGACTCCTACTTTATAATTGTTGCAAATCTTCACAGCTGAAAGTCTTAATTGCTTTAAAGCAAACTTTAGAAACTTGAGAGCTCCCTAGATGCCCTGCATTTTCAAAATTCAGCTTGCCTTTCTGAGGGGAAAATGTAGTCTTAGGAGTTTGGAGCCTGGGCCACCGGACCTTGAAGGTACATGAAGAATTGTGTCACTAATGGAAGAAAAATTTCATTGAAAGAGACTCAGAGCCCGCTGGAAGAGCCTGCTCCCAACACTGTAGCTTAGGAGTGAACTTTGGACGTCTTCTTTCAGCAAACAAAACCTGGAAGGAAACAAAAAGACCCACATTTTCTTTTTTCTTTTTGTCCAGAAAATGAAAAAAAAAAAAAAAAACAAACCACCAAAAACTTACCTTCTGAGTTTGCTGGAAATGCTGCCTCCCCCATCAAGGCCAGGCCCTCCCTGGATCCCCCACCCCCAAATAAAATATGCCTGTGGGGAGCCGTGGAATGAGTCACTGCCTGGCAGAGAGCCCCACGTTTGGGAAGGTTCTTGCCTAACTTCCCAGAAGAAAAGGCCCAGGATTTAAAATGGTCCCTGTGGTTTGTCAGCCTCTGCTGTCCCGTCTGCTTCGGAAATGACTAAAAAGTCATTTCTTTCTCCACAAAATCAAGTCTCCGACTTAAGCAGTGGCCAGGTGGGTCTGGATTCAGAGCTGTTCAGGTTTCCAGAAATGGAGTTTCTGGCTTTACCAGGTGGCATTTCTGGTGGAATTGAACAGGAAAGAGGAGGGGGAGGGGGAGGGGGAGGAGACTCACTCATGGAGCACCTCCAGTGCTGGGAACAGTTCTGGGGGTCATTTCTGCTACAGAAAATGGCTTTTGATTTTATGCATGAGCAAATGGGTGTGTGGAGAGGTCAAGCCTGTGTCTGGGACAGCTGAAGAGGGGATGGCGACAGAATCCTAGGTCACCTGCCTGACTTCACAGTCCTTCCTCTTGTTTGACCCAGAATGTAATATATGACTGCTATGGTGCATAGACTGGGACTGAGGATTTCAACACACGTCTGCTCAATAAATTCTCACTGTGAAATAGAGGTTATTTTCTCCATTTTACAGATGAAAAAACTAAGATGCTGAGACATGAACTGACTTGTATAATTTTGTTGAAGTAGCACTACGACTAACGGTCCCCATTTATTTAGGATATACCATATGCCAGGCCTGTGTTCACAGCTTTAGGGGTCTTATTGTACTCCATCCGCTCGCCAGCACTGTGGGATGGGGATTATCATAATACCCATTTCACAGATGAGGGAACCGAGTCACAGGGAGATTACATAATGTGCCAAAGATCACATGCTAATATGCAGTAGACCCTGGATTTGAACCCAGGCTTGTCAGAGCAGAGCTCATAGTCTTCCCACTGAACTTAGAAACTTGACAGGTTAAATAACTTGGGCCAGGTTATAAACTGGCAAAACTCTGATTCCAGGGTTGAAGTTCTTAACCTTAAACCACGTGTGGCTGCCTTCCTTGTGCTGTCCTGCTCCAGCACGCTGCGAAGTCACTGGGTTAAGATAGGCCAGGGTCCCACAAGGATTGCTGGGCTCCAGACTTCTGGGAGAGGTCTTCACAAAGGTGCTGCTGGCCTTCCTTGTCCCCTCTTGCACCTCTGGAGTAACCAACACCAGGATCAGAGCTTCCCAAGAGAAGGGGCTGCAGTTCACAGTTTTTTTCCAAGTGCCAAGGATCGGTTTCATTAGGGAAGTGTCAAAACAATTGTCAAAAAGAGAACAGTGTTTCCTTCCTCTTCTCGGGTTGGACCAAGCAGGGGAGCTGGAGGGTGGAGCTGGAGGCCCCTGGTGAATCATCCATCCCCGGTTAGATGCAGGTTGGCACCTCCAGGCTTGTTTGGGGACGAAGCCAGACATTGCTCCAGGAAGAGCCCAGCATCCTGACCCGTGGGACAGAGAGTTACCTGCACAGGGCTTCACTCTTTGTTCTGAGTGTGTGACAACATGATCACTTCTAGGAAGGCTTCTTGTCACTTGTCATTTCAGTCCTGGGCCCGTCTCTTTTCCTTCTCATTTCCATTCCTATCGGGGTTTCTGCTGGTCTGTGCTTGAGAGGAATGCTGTGTGTGAGGACGGGCCTGATTGGAGCGGCACTGTACCTGATTGGAGCTGCACTGTGCCCCTGTGAGTGTCCTTGGTGTTGAAAAGGAAAGCCATCTCTCCCCCTTCCAAGCATGTTCTGCAAATTGATGAACATTTGCAAATGGCTTCAGGATGCGTTAATTTAAGGTGTGAAATAATAGATCTTGTGCGAAGGCTCAGCCACATTTCTGGCATTGATGGATTTCTCTCCCGTCTGGCCTGTGATTTGGGGAGGTAAAAATAGGCCTTGTTTCTACATTTTTATCTTTTTTTCCTTTTTTGCTGACGTCATTCCTAGGAAGTGGAGTTCACAGGCCATGGTAGCCTCCTAGGCCATCACCTGGAGACTCGGAGCCCTGGGGAGCAAGGGGACTTGTGAAATGAGGGGTTCACTTGGGGTGGTATGAAGGGCTTAGAAGAGAGCAGGCAGGGAATGGCCAGGCTTAGCTGCAGGTCTGAGGCAGACTGTCGAGGGTCTCAGTGGCTTTTCCCTGCTCAGCCTTCTCATTTCCAACTCCTGGGGAACAGCAAGGTAGGTCTCTGGAAAATGTTAGTTGAAAGAGAAACAGGCCGGCAACTTCACCCATTGCTGTTGGAAATGGGTGACAGACATGTGGTTCTGTCCTTTGACCAAACCTGAATTAAACCAGTGGCCTCGGGCTCAGATTTGACGTCCAGACAGAGGTGACATTGGGGCACATCAGTTAGCGTGTTATTTCCTGTGATGTTAACTTTGGGAACTTGACTACAGAGTGTGATCTAGTATTTTGACATCGGTCCCTCTGACAGGACTTGCTTGTGTGAAAACAGACCCCCACACAGGCAGCTCTGTTGTCTCTAGTTCTGGATTTTTCCACAGATGGCTTCTCTTGTGGTCTGGTGGCAAAGGCACTGGTCTTCCAGTCAGGCTTCTTGGCATCTCCTGGGCAGGATCCCAGTGCTCCCTAAACCCGCCACTCTGGAGCTGGGCTGTGCAGCTGACGCAGGACGGCGATGGGAATGGAAGGTGGGGCCTCTGCGTCTGAAATACATTCAGTTCCAAAGGCCTGGAGGCCCTGAGCCACATGGAGCCGTTCTTTCTTTCTCTTAGACATCTGCTTGATGGTGACCTCATAGAAAGAAAAAAGGGGCTTTGTGTAGGAATTCCATAGAGTGTGAAGGAATCCTGACAGGGAGGGGGAGGGAGGTGGCCATGGGGAGCCTGCAGTGCCTGCAGGTTCCCCAAATTGTTTAACCCTCACACTTCAAAATCGGCTTGACCCTGGAGAACAGAGACCATTTTGGGGGAAGTCCCTCGTCCCCAGTTGTAGTGGAGGCGATTGGGAGTGACCTCAGATGTGGAGTCCCTCAGATGGGAATTTGTTCATGACCCCGTTTTCCAGTGTCTGCCCTCTCTGTTCTTTGTCCTCAAACCCTTTGAAATGGAGGTTTCTGGAAGAGACCTGCAGAGGGAGGCAGCTCCTCTACCAGTGACCTCCAGCTCTGATCAGTCCAGGCTGAAGCCAGGAATTCAGCAGGCTCGTGGCCACCCGGAGAAGAGGTGCAGGACACCATTGGCGTGTATGTGTGGTAGACTTCCAGGGTCGGAAGGGTGCCTGACCTATGGTGACCTCTTACAGAAGGGAAACTGAGGCCCCAGATGGGGAGGTGCTCACTCAGACCTGCCTCTGAAGAGCAAGTCATCCACCGCCCTCAGCCTCAGTTTCCCCATCTGGAAAACAGGACCAGCATCCTAACCCCGTGAGGTTCTGGGGAAGGACTACATCAAACGATGCACATGAAGCATCCCCACAGCATGGGTGCTCGGTGCCAGTCCCCGGTAAGATGTGGGAGGCATTTAATTACAAGGACCTGCCCAGGGTGGCACAGCAGGAAGGTCCAGGCTCTTTTCATGACACGCCTTTGGTCTGCATTGAGGCCCTGAACAGGCTGGAGGAGGGTGCCGGGGACCCCATCCAGATCCCTCCAAAGCACTTTCCTGTGATCGTGACCCCCCAAAAAAGAGGGGAATGAAGCAGTGACAGTTTGGAAAGAGGCAAGATTCAAGTGTGGTTCTCGGGGAAATGTTTGGAAGTGAGAATTTGCTTTCTTCCCACCTCCGCCCGCCAAGGGGCGGAAAGTAAGTCCCCTAGGTTTTTGGTGTGGCGTTGGAGGGCCGCCTGAGGCCTCCGAGTGGTGTCCTGAAGCCAGGCAGATGTGTTGTTAATTATTTACACAGCACCAGCCGCAGCAGAGGTCTGTGCTGACAGGAGCGTCTGTCACAGGCCTGGGTAGGGACTGGGGACAGAAGTGAGCAAGAGGTCTGTCCCTCTTCTTCCTGCCCAGGGCCTCAGGGAAGGTCCACACAGTGAGGCCTAGGGAGGCCCCCATGTTCTGGGAGCCCTCCTGAGCCATTGGGTTCCCCCAGACTGGCTCTTCCTAAAGGAGGAGAGAGATCCTTATCCCCTGGAAGTGGCCACCTCTCCTGAGATGGCTTCTGTGGGAATTTGCCCAGCTTCTTACACCTGAGACCCTAGGTCGCTTAAGTGGTGGGGAGAGGGCCACAAGCTGTGGAGCCCACTCCCCACAGGTGAGCTCACCTGAGGGCTTTGCTGGCCACCTGCCACTCCCTCGTCCAGAAAATAGGCCGGTAACACCAGGCCCTTGATTCTCAGGCATAATTTGGGGTTATTTGCCTTAGAAGTCGACTTCAAGATTAGAATTCTGAAAAGTAAGGGACCTGGGATCAGAGCCCGCCCTGAAAGTCCACTAGGGACAAGAGACGTGGGCTCCATGTGGGCTGGCAACCTCCCCTGCCTTCCTGCTCCCTGTTTCACATAGGTTTTGTCCAGGAGGTGTTTTAAGAGAAGGTGCTCCTAGGAAATACCCAGAATAGAGGAGCCCACGGAGCAGGTCAGTGGGCACCGGGGAATGAGGAGCTGCGGCTCAAAGGTGTGGGTGTCCTTTTGGGGTGATGAAAATGCCTTGGAACTGGGTAGAGGTGGCATTGTGAATGTACCACATGCCACTTTAGCATTGTTGATTTTGGAGCAGGGGATATAGCTCAGTGTAAGATTACTTGCCCAGCATGTGGGAGGCCCTGGGACCAATTCTTCCCCGGTACTGCCAAAAAAAGAAAAAGTCAGCCGGGTGCAGTGGTGCACACCTGTAATCCCAGTGGCTCAGGAAGCTGAGTCAGGAGGATCACAAGTTCAAAGTCAGCCTCAGCAATTTAGCAAGGCCCTAAGCAACTTGGTGAGACCTATCTGTAAATAAAATATAAAAAAGGCTGGAGATGTGGCTCAGTGGTTAAGCACCCCTGGGTTCAATCCCAGGAAGGAAGGAAGGAAGGGAGGGAGGGAGGGAAGGTGGGTGTTAATTATATGTTATGTGAAAAGAAAAAATCTGATGCTTAAAAAAAAAAGAAAAGCCCAGAAGCTCCCCATTTTTCAGATGGGAACACCGAGGTGCGGAGTGAGACCATGACCAGCCTAAGCTCTCACATGCAGCCCATGTCTGCTCTGTGGAGTGAATGAGATCACTCCCAACTTTCAGGCCAAGATATCGTGGTACCTGGGCCTGGAATATGGGTGAAATAGAGCATCCATTGTCCCTTTGGCTGAGTGAAATCTGTTCTTTTAACCAGCAGTGCCATGTTGGTCAGTAGGTACATAGCTATTCATTCAGTCATTCAAGAAATGCACCTGTGGCTGGGGCTGTAGCTCCGTGGCAGAGCACTTACCTGCCATCTGCAAGACTCTGGGTTCAATCCCTGGTAAAAAAACACACGGAAGGAAGGGAGGAAGGGAGGGAGGGAGGGAGGGAGGGAATGCACCCACCTTCTGGGTCAGGCACTGCACAGAATTGGCACAGAGGCCTCTGACTGCCCCACCCCTTGGCCTCTCACCACCTGGGGACAGGAGTTGAGTCAGAGGTTTGTGAATGCTTTGCGGGAGGTCTTTCTTTTTTGTTAAATATTTATTTTTAAGTTTTAGGTGGACACAGTCTCTTTATTTTACATTTATGTGGTGCTGAGGATCGAATCCTGTGCCTCGTGCATGTTAGGCGAGTGCTCTACCACTGAGCCACAACTCCAGCCCTGCTGGAGGTATTTCTTGGGGCTCCTGCCTGGGGAAGTAGGAGTGAGGGGTGTCTACGCAGGGAGATGTGAGGTCGGATAGACGACGAGAGGGCAGGATGAAAGGCAGGTAGACCACAGGGTGAGTGGGTGGGTTATTGTGGGCTGGGGTCTAGGCTGCTGGCAGACCCTGGGCAGCGCAAAGCCAGGAACTTCTCCTGCCTGCTTGGCCTTCCCTTGGCCCCTCTGTGTCAGGGGCTTGCTGCATGTCATGTCCTGGCCTCACTTTTTTACATGAGTGAATGCACTTCTTCCTTCCACCAGTTCCGTGTCATGGGTACTTTATCAATATGCTCATTTTACAGAGGAGGATGCAGAGAAGCGGAGTCTGTTACCTTGAGGAAACCCACAGCATTCAGGGGGCCCTCTGAAGAGTCAGAGGACAGAGGCTGCCTTCTGGAGGTTGTGAGCTGGCAGCCAGGCCCGGAGCCTCCCGGGCAGCTGGAAGGAACGGCATGCACCGGGTCCTGTGCTTGGGGCACAGAGCATTACATCCGTTATCTGACTCCCTGACTAGAACATAAGCTCCGCTGGGGTAAGACTTGGTCTGTGGCCACAGTTGTATCCTCTCTGCCTAGCACTATGCCTGGCACATAGTAGGAGCTCAGTTAATTATCTGAAACTTTCTGAGCACCAGCATGATGACATGACCCTCAGAAATTACAGATTTTAGAACAATTCTGATTTTGAATTTTCAGATTAGAAAAGTCTGTACAAATATCCCAAAATCCAAATGACTCCAAGCTCTGAAACACTGTGGTCCCAGGCATTTCAGAAAAGGAATCCTCAACCTGAGGGAGGAACCTGAGCCCAGAAGGCTTGTACCTGCCAGAGTCTCCTTCCTGTGCCCCTTCTTTGCAGAGGCAGCTCCTCCCACATACAGGAGGGCTTGGGTGGCTGGAATGGTTGGGGGCCGTGTGTCCAAGCTGTTTTGTTTTTTTCCGGGGCTAGGGATTGAACCCAGAGCCTTGGGCATGGCAAGCACGCTCTACCGCCGAGCTCTCCCATAGCTCCGAAGCTGCATTTTTGTTGGGCATGCTGTGGCGTCCAGAGGGTGTGTCTGTGAGGTTCTTAAGCAGGGGGAGGGGACACCGCCATGGGAGACCTCTGGGCAAGGTGCTATTATTAGAAGATGAGCACCTGCCCCCTGGTCCCACCCCAGCATCTCAAGGAGAAGCAACCCCTTTACTGGTGTGGCCTTGGCTGTCACCAGGCTGGGTGCCCAGACGGCAGCAGAAAGGGAGTGGAGGAGCCCACCCCAGGGCTTGGCTGCTGGAGTCGGTTCCCCGGGACCTCAGTGAGCTCCGTGCGCCTGACTCAGAGCCTGTGCATTTCCTTTGTCTCCTCCAGGAATCTTAGTGGCCTTTGTGTTTGTTTTAAATGCCAGCCTCCTCAGCCAGCCCAAGTGGAAATGAGGACTGTCTCATTTTTGACTGTGCAGAGGCTGGGGACGAGGGTGGGGACTGCCTGCTCGTGGAGCCAGCCTGGTGGTGACAGCATGGCACTTGGGAAACATCTGTGGTTTTCTGTCAGGGTGATGAGCAGTGGGTGCTGTGCCACCTGGGCTGGGCACTGGGGTCACTGCCAGGGGTGACACTCAGGTCCAGGTTCCTGGTGCTGTTTAGGAAGGAGCTGCTGATGGCCGCTGTGGGAAACGTGGGGATCAGACGAGGTTCCTGTCTCTTCCTGGGGAAACTTGCAAAGAAAATACTTATCCTCCAAGCTAACGGCTCTCCCTTGCACACCCCGAGTCTTCTGACGTTGGTTACCTGCACAAGATGACCTCACTTTCGCTGTTCCCCTCAGGGCAGTGGTCTGTAAAAGTATTTGTTTTAGTGTCATTTGGGGACAGGAGAGACCATTGGATGATGCTCCTTGGTGCGTGGGAA